CGGGGCAGCGCTCCGCTCTGAGGCGCCAGCGGGCGGGAGCCGGGTCCTGCACCGGCTCCGGCTCCGCCCCCCGCCCCCCCGGCCTGGGAGGACCCGCCCGGCTCCAGCCGCTGCTGTCGCCCCAGCCCCGCCGCAGGGAGGAGCAGGTGCGTGCGGGGCTGCCGGGGACAACCCGTCACAGTTCCGCGCGGCCACGGGCGGCATCACCCTGAGGTGAGATAAGATAAGATAGCTGGGTCCCAGTCTGCGGTACGGGCACTACCCGTGGCACGCAGACACCCTGGCAGTGGTGCCTGCCAACAGATTTATTATAATTTACTTTAGAGGAAAAAAAACCCACTTTGGTGGTGGCACAGAAGATTGAACTGGAAAATGTGCTGGTGGTACTTCAGGCTGTGTCGTTTTTAAATTGGTGAGGCGCAATCTGTCACAAGTTTGGGAACCGCTGTCAGATAATATCATAATATGATACCATATGATATAGTATACATGGTGTGTTTCTCCTGTTCCAATGAAACCAGAAGCTTTACCCACAGGCCCGGGCCCAGGGCAGGATGATTCAGGGGAGGAGACATGCAGAAACACTGGAAGGCACCACAGTACAAACAGTCCCCCGGGCTGGGAAGTAGCAGGATTACCAGGAAGAAGGATGTGTGCTCCCGCAGACTGCGGGGGTATGGCGACTGCCTGCAGGAGGCTGTGGCGGCGGGGGCAGGGTGGTGAGTGCCAACCGCCCGCAGGCACCGCTGGCAGTGTCGGCAGCACTTCTTTCAGGGGGTGGACCGCCGACATGCACCCCCTATGCATCACCAATGGTCACCAGCAGCAGCAAACAGGCAGCAGGGTGGTAGATGAAGGCTGGCTCCACTGATGGATCATCCTGATCATTAAAAAGGAGAGAGGGTTGTTAACACCTCTCATATGAAGCACTCTTCATTTGTACTAGAAGGGATCAGGTGCATGACACTGAGCCATGAAGTCAGTGGACTCCCTTGGCACTGCCCAGCTAGAAATGCTGCTGGCACGGCCAGGCAGTTGGTTTTAAACCTTGGGTGGAGCAGGAATCAAAGCGGGGCGCAAGTGCACCTGCAGCGCCTGGATCTACCCCTGACTGCAGCCTTGGTGTGCTCTACGCTGGTTTACCTGCTCCTCTTATGCTCAGTGCCAGGAGCTGTCTTTTTTCCTTTATGCTTTGTGCTGGGCCCTGCTCTGCTTTCCTTCCCTCTGTGAGTAAACTCAAGTGGCCGTTTTAAGGGAGAACCTTATGCTTTTGAAACAAATTTCTTACCAAAAATAATATAATAAAGTGCAGGTCACACTTCCAGGCAGTCGAAATTGGAGAAAAATGTTGGCATCCTCTCTGGGGATTGTTACTTGAATGATCAAATGATTTATACTTGTTCCACATATGTGGGTCTACTCAAGGTTCAAAAAATGAGGTGGCTCGGGGGGAGGGGCTGAACCCCCTCCTATACGAGATGATATCTCCTCCATAAAAGACAAAAGCCCCACATAAGTCCCCCCCCCATAGGAGACAAGAGCCCCACCATAAGAGACGAAAGCTCCCCCTCTCCAAACCTGCCCCACACCTTTCCAAGCAGCTCACATGGTGGCAGCAGCAGCTCCTTCTGGCTTCCGGCTGCCACCACCACAGACCTTCCCAAGAACTGGAGTGTAATTTGCACCCTGGTTCTACTAGTCTATGGTCTGTAACACACACAGCACTGGTGAGACCGATGTCCTTGCGAGAAAATTGGAGAATTGTGGACTTCACTCTGAGACAGTCAGCTGGGTGAGAAACTGGCTGCAGAATAGGACCCAGAGAGTCGTAGTGAACAGGTCTGTGTCATCCTGGTGAGAAGTGGGCAGCAGTGTCCCGCAGGGCTCGGTGCTCAGTCCAGTACTTTTCAAAATCTTTATTAACAATTTGGATGTGGGGGTGAAGAGCTCACTGGCCAAGTTCGTGGATGACACCAAGTTATGGGTGAGCGTGGTCACACTTGAAGATAGGCTGCAGTTACAGGCGGACCTAGACAGGCTAGCAGGTTGGGCGGATCGGAATCTGATGAAGTTCAACGTTGAGAAATGTAAAGTGCTCCACCTCGGGACGAGCAACCCCCACACACCTACAGGCTTTGTGGCACCAAACTGACTACCACCACGAATGAAAGGGACCTGGGGGTAGTAACAGACCACAGTATGAATATGAGCCAGCAGTGTGATGCTGTAGCCAGTAGGGCAAATAATATTCTAGCATGCATCAACCAGTGCCTCTCCAGCAAAGCCAAGGAGGTGATTCTTCTGCTCTACTCAGCACTGGTGAGACCGCAGCTGGAGTACTGCATCCAGTTCTGGGCACCACACTTTAACAAGGGCATGGACAAGCTTGAGAGAGTCCAAAGAAGAGCCACCCATATGATCAGAGTCTTAAAAGGCGAGCCATACGAGGAAAGGCTGAGGGACCTGGCGAGGAAAAGAAGGCTGAGAAGGGACCTGGCAGCAGCTTACCACTACACTAGGGGAGTACATCAAGGGCTCAGTGAGCAACTGTTCACTGAGGGGAAAACCAGGAGTAATGGCCCCAAACTCCAGGAAGATTGATTCAGGCTCAACATTAGGAAAAACATCTTCACAGTCAGGGTGTCCAGACTGTGGAATAAGCTCCCTCCAGAGGTGGTGCAATCACCTACCCTGGAAATCTTCAAGAGGAGACAGTCACCTTGCTGAGGTCACCTGACCCCCAGTTATCTTTCCTGCTTGGTGCAGGGGGCTGGACCTGATGATTTTCCGAGGTCCCTTCTGGCCTTACAGTCTATGAATCTGTGAAACATGCTCCTTTAGTCATGATGACAAAGGTGAATGCTACAGGTATATCTTTTCGAGTCCATCCATTAAACATTCCAAAATCCTCTTCAGCTAAGACTCTCAAGAAGCATTGCCCTCCTTCATTTGATGTCTTATGACATAATGTGGAAATTCCCCATATTTCATTTATTAGACATCTGAACTGGAATAGACACATAAAAATGTAAGCATGAAAGCAAAACAAGCTTTGGGGGGAGTGTTATCTTTGTACAATAAGGATTATAGCAGCACTAAAGGGTAGTATTGGCAGCACTAAAGGTCTGTAGATCTAAGGTTTGTTACTCACATGGACCAGTTCTCCAGGCTTTACTCAGGCAAATTCCTTTTCAAGTCAAAGGGCACTTTACCTAAGTAAGAAGGCAGGCTTGCAGAAATCAGGAGAAAAATCTGTATAAGTTGTTCCCCCAAATTGCAGAAATCTACAGAACTTCAAATTAAAACTTAATGGTCTTAAATGATAAATTTAGATTTTTTTTCTAATTATTCTCAAATTTTAATCCCTAAATAATGTGTTTATCACTTCCCATGAGAATCTAAGTAGATCTCTGGAAATTTACTAGTTAAAAACACAATATGGCAAAATATTTCATGATCAACCTTAGCTTACCAGAAATGGAAATTTCTTTATTTCCCTAACAATGTCTTTGAAAAGTGTAGTGTAGTCACAATCTTTGGGAAGCAGGAAAAAAATCTTCAAAAGCAGCCTTTCATTATCTAGGTGAAAGCATCTTTGGAATCACCTTGTCTTTAACTTTATCTACAATTCTCTTTTAAAATACCAAACCAACACAGCGTGAACTGTGTTGTTCATGAGTAATATTGTGATAATCTGCACATTTGCTTAATATTCCAATGAAGCTGAGATATGGTGTTATAAATAGTCATTCAAACATTTGGACCATGGTGTCAGGTTCTGAAAGTGTTGAAATTTGTTTGAGTTTTCCATTATTTTAATCACAATTAGGAGCTCAGCATGAGGAAAAACTGCATGAGTTCTGCATGAGAAATCATAATTCATATTAATTATAACTGATTTAGGTCGGTTGGCCCCATTCAAGTCAAAACCAAAGACAGATCCAACTATTTTATCTTAATAACTATTTTCCTGCTTCTAAGACATGCATGACTTCCAGAAGTACTTTCCATTCAAATGATCCATCATTATCTAAGTAGCCATTCAAGTGAATTGTCTGCTATTGGGAAGTAACAAGTTAATTTAGTGGACATAACAAATACAGTCATTTTCAGTCTGTGAGCTGTGTGGCTTTTTCAACTGCAGTTCTTCTGGAATCCACAGATATAAAAATAGCCTTTTTTAACTCTTGGCTAATAGTAGAAGACCCTTGTTGCTCCATGACTACCAAAAAACAAAAGGTAGTAAAAGGCCTGTGTCAGGTGTAGGCACACAATCAAATAATAGTGGTGAGATCTGTGGACATTATCTTCAGAAGGTTTGGCCTTGTGTTATAGCAATACTGTGTCATGACAATGTGATAGGCAAAAAAGTGCAATGTATTTAAGCTAATCCTTCCCATTACACTCCTTTTCCATCATCTACCCACTGCAGTCCCACAGAAATTAATACAAGAGATCACACACGATGCCAGTACCACAGAGATTTAAAAAACAATACGTCACAGGGCAAGAATTACTGCAGCGGCAAATATGGAAAGAACAATGAGTAAAAAAGGTATTTTAGCTCAGTTTCATTTATGCACTCAAATTCTAGTAAAATTGAGATTTCATAGATTTCATAGACGTTAGGGCTGGAAGGGACCTTGGAAGATCACTGAGTCCAGCCCTCTGCCCCAGGGGCAGGAAGTCAGCTGGGGTCACAGGATCCCAGCAAGATAAATGTCTAATTGACTCTTAAAGGAATCCAGAGTAGGTGCTTGCACCATCTCTTGCAGCAGTCTGTTCCAGGCCTTGGGGCTCGGACAGTAAAGAAGTTCTTCCTTATGTC